CATGCTCACATATTTTGGTTCCATGCTCACATATTTTGGTTCCATGCTCAGGCAGGGTCCACCCAGTCTGGGGATGGCATTAACAGTGGCTCCGTCCATCGAGTCCCGTGATACCGATTACCCACACTGTTAGTGTGGGACTGCAGCTGGGGACCGTTGATGTCTCAGGCACAGCAGGGGCCCAGGACACTCCTGTCTGCACACACTATGCCATTCCTGCCAGGAGAAGGGGACCCAGGGGCCCATCTCTCCGTCTTCCACCCCCGCACAGGTCTGCCATCTCCCTACACTCTCCAGGAAGTGCAGGTGGCCATCATTAACAGCAGCATGTGCAACCACATGTACCAGAAGACGGACTTCCGACTAACCATCTGGGGGGACATGGTTTGCGCTGGCAATCCCGCTGGTGGCAAGGACGCCTGCTTTGTGAGTATCACCGCACCCCACCATGGCTTCTGGGCCCAGCACCTACCATTCCTATCTCGATCTTCCATCCAGCTGAGTTTCACAAGGTACCTCATTCACTCTCAGTCCAACCCTGGGAAATGGACTGTGGCCCCATTTTGCAGATGAAGAAGCTGAGGCTTCAGGGCTGTCAGGGCAGGGGGTCATATCCTTACCGAATCTGCCAGTTCCACAGTACTCCCTTTCCCTTGGCCTCCCTCCTAGTCCCACTTGCCACCCCCTAGGCCAGCCTTACCTGTGCTGCTCCTCAGGGTGACTCAGGAGGACCCTTGGTCTGCGACCAGAATACGGTGTGGTATCAGGTTGGAGTTGTGAGCTGGGGTATAGGCTGTGGGCGACCCAACCGGCCTGGAGTCTACACCAACATCAGTCATCATTACAACTGGATCCGGTCTACCATGATCCGCAATGGGATGCTCAGGCCTGACCCAGCCCCCCTGCTGCTGTTTCTCACTCTGTTCTGGGTCCCCTCGCTGCTGAGGTCTGCCTGAGGTCACCTGTGAAAATACGGTCATTGGTGGAGCTGGGGTGTGTTTCTTTCGTATCGTGTTTGCTAATAAACATGCTTATGTTTTCATAGTTTTCCTTGAACTTGGATGGCTTCCTATACAAGCACCTCCTTTCTCCCAGACCAAGCCCTGTATCTAATCCCTGAAATCTGGACCCATCCGCATCAAGTTCTGGCTTTAAGCAGTAACATCCATGTAGTGCAATTACAAAAACCACAATTTGTGGCTGGGCATGGTAGCACCCACCTGTAGCTCCAGAACATGGGAGACGGAGGCAGGAGGATCAGGAGCCTTCTGCAAAGAGCAGCATCCAGGACAGCGAGTCCAGCATGATTAAGGTTCCTGCTCCCACTGGCTCAGGCTGGGTTTCCTCAGTATGTCCAGTGGGAGCTCTGCTGCTTCCCGAGCCTTTCTGTTTTCTTTTTGAGACATGCTCTGGGGTCCTCTGGTCTTCCCCATTCTGATCCAGGAGTCGGAGCATCCGCAACCCTCACCTTTTGTTGACGTGGGACCAGTGCATAGTGTGCCTGGCACTGCACTAACCACAGAATGCACCCAGGCTCCTCAGAAGCTGTTCTGATCACACCCCACAGCACTGGAACTGAGACTCTGGGGTAAAGGATGTGACCAAACCCCTACAGGGGCAAAACCAGGGACTTCCACCTTCTGCTCTGTATTGCCGTGTCCAAGGACCCCCAGGAGATGGGAGGAGGGGGACAAGGTGGACATGAACTGAAGTCTTCAGGACATTCTAGGAGGTGTCCTGGCTAGGCAAACCTCACTCTGCCCCATCAACTGTGTTTCAACCAGGAAAAGCCGAAGTCCCTGCTATGTGGCCACATAGGGTAGGCACCTACATGTCCATCACTGTCCACCAGGGAGCAGTCATGAGCTTGGATCTTTGGTTCAGAGGCAGACGGAGGGAGGGAGGGAGGGCTTGCCAACATTGATGTGCAGGAGAGGTACAGGACACTCTGTCTCCTGTGGTGTTTCTGCTTCCTCATAGATCTCTGTTGTTTGGCCATCTTCCATTTGGTCTCTGGGCTAAGCGTTTCCAAGGGAAGCGTTGTTCCTGGGGACTTGCAGCTCCCTAGAGCCCCAAATGCACAGCTGAACCTGAAATTTTCCGTGGCGATTACATTGATGAGACTGCTTTTGCCTTATTTATACCCTCTAGCAATTTCCAGAGGACAGAGGCCATTAAGAGGAGAAGAGGCTCAAAGGAATGTGTCAAAGTCAAAAGGCAGTTCACAGCCACTAAGTGACCCCCGTGTATGTGGTCAGAGACCATGACACCTGCTGAAACCCTGAGAAAGGCAGCCGCCAAGAAGTAGCTTTTCTAGCTAGAGAAGCCCACGGGAAGCAGAAAGCTGGAGCCAAGAGGTGGGGCTGAGAGCGTGGGCCCCAGATGGAGAAAGTGGTGTCCTGGACAAGGGCAGATGCCCGAGGGCGTCTCAGTGGTGTGTCGATGATGAGCTGGGGGTGGGCTAACTAGATCCCTTAACTAGAACAGTGCCCCGCGCTACCGTCTCGCCAGCAAGAACCACGCGGGACACATAGGATACTTCTGCAGTAAAGCTTTAATGCCCCTTGGGAGAGCAAGCATCAGCCAACATGGCAGAGACCCAGAATGAGGGGAACCCAGCCCTTATAAAGGAAACAGTCCTCGCTTCTGACGTGTCACTCTTGGATTGGTCCGCTGCCCATTATCCCAGATGATGCCTCGGGAGTAGGCAGGGACGCAGCGGTAGACAGTTAACAAGCACATGCGCTGGGATTAAAGGCGTGTGCTACATCACCTTGAACTCACAGAGATCTGCCTGTCTCTGCTTCCCAGGCATTGGGACCAAAGGCGTGTACTACCATGCCTTGAGGTCACAGAGGTCAATCTGCCTGTCTTCCAGGCATCAGGACTAAAGGCGTGTACCGCCACACCTTGGGGTCACAGAGGTCAGTCTCTACCTTTGTTCCTTGAAGCAATGGAGAATGTGGTTGCGGCCCTCCACAGAACAGGACTTTGTAACTTTCTTCCCTTTGGCTCTTTGTCACTAGAGAGGTTTTTAGAAGAGATCTATTTATTCTTTAAATTTTAGTCATGTGTATGCATGTGTTTCTGTGTGGGGCTATGTACATAGGAGAACACTTGCATGCAGAGGCCGGAAAAGGGTGTTGGATCTCCAGGGCCTGAAGCTAAAGGCAGCTGAAGGTACTACCATCTGATCTAAGTGCTGGGACCGAACTTCTTCAGCTGGAAGAGCAACAGTGCTCTTAACCACTGAACCATCCCTAATCAAGTGCTGAGTTTTCTAGGTTAGAGCGTAGCAAAAACGTTCAGCACAGAGAGAGGACTTGGCAGGAGTATCGATTAAGGTTGCCACTGATCTCAGTAAGTAGAAATGTCGTCTCTCAGTCCTGGTTGCTTCTTAGTGTCTTCCCCCAGCAGCGTAGACTCAGGTCCATATACAAAGACAGCCTCTGTTCCTCCCTGTACAAATATGCCACTTGGCTTCTGATCCTTCTTCCCCTCCCATCGGTCTCCTCTGGTTCCTGTGGTTCCAGGGATCAGTTGGGGATATACGGAGGAGCCAGCTTCCTCCTTGGCCCCAGAAATCACCCTTTGGACAGAATGGCCCAAGACCAGACCAGGATCTAGCCTCCAAGTGAGGACAGAAGCTTCCTGTAGCTGACCAGCATGGCGCTGAGGATGTGGCTCTGAGAGGGTTGTAGATGGAGACGCACTTATCCAGAGTGTCCTGAGGGGTCTTTCCTAGTCCTCTAGCAAGAGAGGTGGGATACCAGAGCCAGGTGTTAAAACCACCTTTGGCCTCACAAGGACTCAGCAGCCCAGGGCCCACCTCTGTTGGAGGAGAAGGCCCCATTGTTTCAGTCCCTGGCACAGTGCGGACTGGGCTGTGCCCAGGGCAGTTGATAAATGCCCAGGAAATCCCCCTTTGGGGAGTCCTGATCCTGAGGGACAAAAGGCCTGTGTTGAGCATTCCTTACTGTAGGCTCAGGGCCAGCTCTGTAGCTGAGGGGATACAAAGAAAGACTCTTTGGGGTTGGACCCCCCACCTGTGTATGTGAGGACTGTACCTGTCCAATGTGGGTGTAGCTGGGTGAGTGTGTATTTTCACACATAGATGTGGGAAAGCGTGATAGCCATTACCACATACCAACAATAGGAAACTGTTCCTTACTTGTGTAACTAGGCAGGTCCCACAATCCTCTTTGGCCTGGTTAGCCACTGTCTGTTCCCTCCACCCCACCCTCCGCTCAAGGGGTACTTCCTTGAATCTCAGCCAGCCAGACCCTCCTTTTGGCACCTGAAGTGACAGCAAACCCACAGAAGTGCTTCTGGGCTGGGCTGGGACAGAACACAAGCCCCCATTTGTGCTCCCTTCCAGGCCCCTGGCTCCAAGAGCATATCTGCCAAGAGCTTAGGCCCTTTTGCCTCCACCTCCCCAAAGATCCTCCTGGAGCATCAATAGGGGACCTGTTGCCCTGTCCCCAGCCAAACATCCACTGTGTCTGCAGAGAAGAGATGTAAGGAGGGCTGGGAGGGCAGATGAGGTGGGCTCTCACCTCTTCAACATCCATGGATGGAGTGCACTATGAGCCTCCCTAGGGAGGCAGTGCAGTACTCAGAACCAAGCGCAGGTGTTCTGCTAAGAGAGCTCCTCCCAATGTCGTCAAAGACAGCTACTGCACAGAGCCCCTTACCCTCTACTTTGTCCAGCCAACCAGGGACGGGGCTGTAACTGCTCCGGGGTAAGGAATGAGTGTGGACAAGGTCAGAAGTCCGTGTGAAGGACCAGGCAACACAACTCTGTGCTTTGGGAGCCATCAGCAGCTCCAGACAACAGACAAATGCCCTGACTCTTGACCTTGGTGACAGGGAAGGCATCAGGATTACAGAAAATTTTCTTTTTATGGTAAGTGTGGTGATGCATATTCCAGGAAAATCTCAGCACTGGGGAGGCAGAGGCAGACAGATCCCTGTGACTATGAGGCCAGCCTGGTCTATATAGTGAGTTCTAGGCAAGTCAGGGATACATAGTAATACCCGGTCTTCAAAATTATTTTTAATTATGTGTGTGTGTCCACTCAGGGGGGCGGTATGTTCTTGTGAGTACAGTGTCCTTGGAGACCAGAAGAGACACCCAATCTCCTGCAGCTAGAGTTGTCAGTGGTGTAGGCCACCTGGTGTGGCTGCTGGGGACAGAATTCAGGTCCTCTGGAAGAGCGGTCCATGTTCTTCTGTTGGACAGGGTTTCTCTATGTAGCTCTGACCGTCCTGGACTCACTCTGTAGACCAGGAACTCACAGAGATCCACCCGCCTCTGCCTCCCGAGTGCTGGGATTAGAGGTGTACGCCACCACGGCACACAGCAGTCCACGTTCCTAACCACTGAACCATCATTCCAACCTGAAAATTTTCATGAGTCACTATATATATATTATATATATATATATATACATACACATATATATACATACACACACACACACACACTTTTCTGAGGATTATAACACATGAAAAGCACTCTTATCTCAAAATCTCAAACACATGCCAGGCTACTTTGACCTTTGTGTCTCTAGTTTTCTCACCCCTTGTATAGCCATTAATAGTGCCTGGCTCAGGAAATGGAGGTCCCTCCTAGTTCTGCAGCCCATCCCTCATTGCCATCCCTATGGGACCAGTGATCCTAGTTCCTGGAAAGAGCCAGGCTGTGTACACACAAGGCCATTCTTTGCAACTCTTTGTAAGCGCACGAGGGCCTCAACAGGAATCAGGGGCAGAAGCAGAGTGAAGGACAGGGACCAGGCAGGTGGCGAGTGGGAGACTCATAGAAAACGGGAGCCATCCGGAAGTTGGGAAGCTGGCGGTGGACTTGTGAGCGGGACAACAGCGTCAGGCAGAGGCGCAGACAGATGGGGGAAACTTTGCTGCATGCTGGCTCCCACAGGAACTCAAGAAAGCAAGTCTCACGTACAAGTAAGCGACAGAAACACTCAGTACTATATCAGTGTCAGGACTGGCTGGGCATGGAAGGGATGAGGGGGATGAGGTCA